TGGCCCTGCACACCTGGCAGGAAATGTCACTTTTTCCAGCCCTTTTCAGATCAAAGGAAGAGATGGGGGGGGCACAGTACCCATCTGTTAGAATGGCTTAAAAATAGGTCTCTGTCCTTGGATACAGAGGAAAAGCTGCTGGCAGAAGCCAGGGTCACTGGCACACCTCTCTCCCCGCAGTAAATCTCCCCACCCACCCCCATCCCCACCCCCACAGGCATGGGGCTTGAACTCTGGGCCTGGGCGCTGTCCCTCAGCTCTTCAGCTCAAGGCGAGCGCTCTACCACTTGAGCCACAGTGCCACTTCCGGTTTTCCGGTGTTTCCTTGGAGATCAGAGTCTCACCGACTTTTCTGCCTGAGCTGACTTTGAACCTCGATCCTCAGATCTCAGCCTCCTGAGTAGCTAGGATGACAGGCCGGAACCACTGGCTGATCTTTGATCTTCCAGCATCTTCCACCAAGACTCTAGCCCACAGCTGGGAGAAATAATCGCTTATCCACCACCACCACCCCCAACCCTGACTTCCTGAAGGAAATCAAATCATCCTATGGAGATTAAACAAGTATGTCAATTTCACCACAGTTCCCAGAGCCAATTTTGCAGGAAACTTCCCCTTAGAGTAAGCAGGTATCTGTCTACACCCCACCCACCATGCACCCACAATCTGGGTAAGGAGACCAACAGAGAGAGCTAGGGGTGCCACCTTTAACCAGAAGGGAAGATACAAGTCATGATGCAGACGCCTGGAATCCCAGCGACTCGGGAGGCTGAGATCTGAGGATCCTCATTTGGAGCCATTCCAGGCAGGAACATCTCTTGAGACTCTTCTCTCCAACAGACCACCAAAAAAAAAGCCAGAAGTAGGAGTATGGTTCAAGTGGTAGAACATCAGCCTTGAGCCAGAATAAATTAAAAAGCTAAGAGACAGCACTCAGGCTCTGAGTTCAAGTATCAGCACACACACACACACACACACACACAAAATGGTAATTATGTGGTACTTTGGAGCTGAGGCTTTGATCTCTGGGCCTTTTAATGTTTCCTGGTAGCCTTGCTAGAGGCAGGGACCTTGGTCTATGGGCACCTTGTTCCAAGGTGACACTGCAGACACACCAGCCTCCACCCACCGCCCCAGCCGCTTCTGCCCACAGCTTGGACATAAGAGTCCACTTAGGGGGTTCTTGCCTTCTGGAATTCCTCTCTAGCAGGGTCCATGCCAGCCCCTGTGTGCCCGCTGTGGTGGACCTGAGGTTCCCCCCCGCCCCCCAGAGATTGGGCTGTGTCTGATGTGTAGAAAAGACCAGAGAATCAGATGCTGGTGGCTCCCGCCTGTCATCCTAGCTACTCAGGAGGCTGAGATCTGAGGATCATGGTTCAAAGCCAGCCCAGGCAGGAAAGTCCATGAGACTCTTGTCTCCAATAAACTACTCCGAAAAAGCCAGAAGTGGCGCTGTGGCTCAAGTGGTAGAGTGCTCGCCTTCAGCTGAAGAGCTGAGGGACAGCGCCCAGGCCCAGAGTTCAAGCCCCACGACTGACAAAAGAAAAGAAATCCAGCTCACCCTGGCTTAGAAGCCAGAATCTCCCTGAGCTGCAAAGTCTAAACCTGGCTGGCTGGACCAGCATTTACACACTTAATTTTTGCTCAGCGATCGGATGTTTGTTAAGTGACTAAATGATTGAGGTCCCCGGAGGTCTTTTTCCACTGTGGAAACCTGGCTTGTTCTTTATTTATTTTCTTTAGTACCAATCCTGGTGGAGGCTTGAAAGCAAGGCCTGGGGCACTGTCCCTAAGCGTTTGTGCTCAAGGCTGGCACTCTACTACTGGAGCCACAACTCCACTTCCGGCTTTTTGGTGCTTCTTTGAGGATAAAGTCTCACAGCTTTCCCACCCCAGGGTTGGCTTTGAACCCAGATCCTCAGATCTCAGCCTCCTGAGAAGCTAGGATGCCAGGCGTGAGCCGCCAGCACCCGGCGGGGCTGTGATCTTTGAGATGCTTTGTGTCTTGTGGGTCAACGTCTTCTGGGGTTATTATTATTATTAGGTTTTCTGAACTTCACGCGTTGTGCAAGGGGTTACAATTTACCCTCCAAGGGCCCAGAGCATCTCTGGGCCCCTCCACCCATACATTACCTTCCTCAGAGATGGAAAAGCCCTCTTAAAGGTTCCTGGGAGGAGAGGGCGTGGCTTGCCTGAAGGGGTGTGGCTTGTGTGCCGGGGGCGTGGCTCTGTCTGAGGTGTGGTTTGTTTTCTGGAGGCAGAGCTTGCCTGTCGGGGCGTGGTTTGCCGGGGCGTGGCTTGTCTTCTGTGGGTGTGGCTTTTCTGTGGGGGCGTGGCTTGTCCATCTGAGTGGTTGGTCTTCTGGGGGTGTGGCTTGTCTAGCGGGCATGGCTTGTCTCCCGGGGGCGTGGCTTGTCTCGGAGTGGTTTGTCTTCTGGGGCGTGGCTTGTCTCCCAGGGGTGTGGCTTGTCTGTCGGGCGTGGCTTGTCTCCCGGGGGCGTGGCTTGCCTCTGAGTGGTTTGTCTTCTGGGGCGTGGCTTGTCTCCCAGGGGTGTGGCTTGTCTGTCGGGCGTGGCTTGTCTGAGTGGTTTGCCTTCCGGGGGCGTGGCTTGTCTCCCAGGGGTGTGGCCTGTCTCGGAGTGGCTTGTCTCCCGGGGGCGTGGCTTGTCTGAGTGGTTTGTCTTCCGGGGATGTGGCTTGTCGGGCGTGGTTTGTCTCCCGGGGGCGTGGCTTATCTCTGAGTGGTTTGTCTTCCGGGGGTGTGGCTTGTCGGGCGTGGCTTGTCTCCCGGGGGCGTGGCTTGTCTCCCAGGGGTGTGGCCTGTCTCGGAGTGGCTTGTCTCCCGGGGGCGTGGCTTGTCTCTTAGTGGTTTGCCTTCCGGGGGCGTGGCTTGCATGCCCAGACGGAACTCCTGCGCGGCTCTGGGTTTACCCAGCCCGTCCCCTCCATCCCTGCCGTGCCCAGGGCCCCCAGGGCCTGTCACAGGAAGGGTGACCCCCCCCACAGTGGCCCCCATTCCCTGCAGGGAAGGGGAGGCGTCTGTCATTCCCATGGGGTGCTTGACACACGTACACACCCCATCCTGGGGTGGCTTGCCATGACAATGGGCTCAGGTGCTCTAGCAGCCCGGATGTGGGCAGTGAGCCCCCCACCCCCCGCCGCACCTCCCCCGAACTGCACCCCGGGATGGGCAGGGGTGAGGAGGGGGGCTCGCGACCAGGAGGCGCCCCTCCTGGGTGGCCGGGATTACAGGCGTGAGCTCCACGCCCTCCCCCTCCGTGACACCGTGCGGGTCCAGTTACGTGTGATCAAGTCACTTTATTCCGTTTGTGTCACTGTTTTTTGTGAATTTTTGCTTGTTGGGCTAAAGGTGATGTACAGCGGGGTTTCCATGACACAGGCCAGGGAACCAGCGCGTTTCTTTTTGGACAGTGTCTCCCCTCTCCTCCCTCTCTCCCAGCTAAGTCCACTGCTCCGACCTTTCCATAGACATGAACCCCGGTGGGGGGGAAGGTTCTGGAAAAGTCATCTGGTGCCCAAGACCTGTGTTTCCAGGTGGGGCAGGGGAGGGGAGTCCCAGAGGCCTGGCCTGGCCTTGTTTTGGACCCTCAGCAAATAACAGCACCAGATTGTTAGTGACCAGTTACACTGTGTGATGCTATTTAAGCGTTTTGTCCACGTGATCACCTGGCACTGGACTGGCCAGGGAACCAAACCTACCACCCCCAACCAGCAAGAGCCACAAAACAGGGTCCCCTGGCTCATCTGAGAGACCCCCCCCCAAGAGAAAGCATGACCCAGGGCTGGGAAGGTGGCTCAGTGGTAGTTCGCGTGCATGAAGCCCTGGGTTCGAATCTTCAGTGCCACATACACAGAAAAAGGCAGAAGTGGCGCTGTGGCTCAAGTGGTAGAGTGCTAGCCTTGAGCAAAAGAAGCTCAGGGACAGAAGAAGCTCAGGGACAGAGTCCAGGCCCTGAGTTCAAACCCCAGGACTGGCCAAAAAAGGAAGGGAGGGAAGGAGGAAGGGAGGGAAAAGGGAAGCAAGCATTGACCCAGAGAACAGCAGCCACACACCCCTCCGCCAACACCCTCCTCCCCAAGAATCCAGGGGTCCTTGTTGACCTAGAAGGAAGCTTCTAGATGTGAAGAGCTCCAATGGAGATGCAGAAGTCATGGGAACCTCAGGACAGCGTTGATAAGCTCACTAGTGCTGGCTATGGAGAGAGGAACAGCTTCAGTGCGCACGCATGGCATTCACACACACGTATACCAAGCGAAGCCTCAGTTAGCTCAACCTGAGACATGGGTACGCAGAGTGGTTTGTGACAAGGAGATGGGGGGGGGATCTGCCCCTTCGCTGTAGCATGGAAGCTTCCACAGGTTATCCTTGATAAACTGGTTTCTGATTAAGATGGCATTTTCAGTAAGAAGAAGAATTGCGAGGCAGGCACTGGTGGCTCACCCCTGTAATTCTAGCTGCTCGGGAGGCTGAGATAGGAGGATTGCGGTTTGAAGCCAGGCTCAGCAAACGAATCTGAGATGTGTGTGTGTGTGTGTGTGTGTGCGTGCGTGTGCATGCGCACCGGCCCTGAGGCTTCAAATCCAGACCTCAGGACATGGTTCCTTAGCTTCTTCACTCAAAGCTGGAGCTCTCCCACTTGAGCCACACCTCCACTTTGGTCTCAAGTTTGCTGGTTCATTGGAGATACGAATCTCACGGACTTTCCTGTCCAGGCTGTCTTCGACCTGGGGTCCCCAGATCTCAGCCTCTTGAGTAGCTGGGATGACAGACCTGAGCCATCCAGTGCCTGGCTTGACTCTGATGTCCAATTAATTAGCAAAAATTTAAAAGGCCTGGAGTGGAGCCGTGGCCCAAGTGGTAGAGCACCAGCCGAAGAGCACAAAGTGACCGTAAGAGAAAAGCTGGTGTGTGGATGCTGGATTGTTTCTTGGGGTGGGGGGGACCCCTCCTCTGACCCCTCACTGTCGTCTCTCCACAGACTCCAGCCCCCCGACGCGCCTCCTGACCCCCCGTCCATGCTGCGGCCCTGGCTTCGAGCAGCAGCCGCAGCGGCACCCGGTGCTGGGCGAAGCCCCGCGCTTCCACGCGCAGGCCAAGGGCAAGAACGTGCGCCTGGACGGCCACTCGCGGCGAGCCACGCGGCGCAACAGCTTCTGCAACGGGGTGACGTTCACGCAGCGGCCGATCCGGCTGTACGAGCAGGTGCGGCTGCGCCTGGTGGCCGTGCGGCCCGGCTGGAGCGGCGCGCTGCGCTTCGGCTTCACGGCGCACGACCCCTCGCTCATGAGCGCGCAGGACATCCCCAAGTACGCCTGCCCGGACCTGGTCACCCGGCCCGGCTACTGGGCCAAGGCGCTGCCCGAGAGCCTGGCGCTGCGCGACACGGTGCTGGCCTACTGGGCCGACCGGCACGGCCGCGTCTTCTACCGCGTCAACGACGGCGAGCCGGTGCTCTTCCACTGCGGCGTGGCCGTGGGCGGCCCGCTCTGGGCGCTCATCGACGTCTACGGCATCACCGACGAGGTGCAGCTGCTCGGTAGGCCGCGGCCCTGCGCCCCGGGGAGCGATCGGGGGCCTGTGCGCGTCCGGATCGGGTCCCATCCACCCCGGGGAGGGGCTCCGGGGGCGATCGGGGGCCTGTGCGCGTCCGGATCGGGTCCCATCCACCCCGGGGAGGGGCTCCGGGGGCGATCGGGGGCCTGTGCGCGTCCAGATCGGGTCCCATTCGCCCTGGGGAGGGGCAGATCGGGCCCTGTGCACTGGGTTGGAAGTGAGGGTGCAGATTAGGTCCTGTGCGCCTCGGGGAGGGGCAGATCGGATCCCATCAGCCCCGGGGAGGGGCAGATCGGGCCCTGTGCGCCCTGGAGACCGGCACAGAGGGTGATGGAGTCGTGTGCATCCTGGGGAGGGGCAGATCGGGCACTGTGCACCGGGTTGGGAGGAAGGGGGGGTGCAGATTAGGTCCTGTGCACCAGGGAAGGGGCAGATCGGATCCCATCCGCCCCGGGGAAGGGCAGATCAGGCCCTGTGCGCCCTGGAGACAGGCACATAGGGTGATGGAGTCGTGTACATCCTGGGGAGGGGCAGATCAGGCACTGTGTGCCCCAGGGAGGGGCAGATCGAGTCCTGTGCGCCCCGGGAGGGGGCAGATCGGGTGGCATGGGTCCCCAGGAGGGGGCAGATCGGGTCCCCTGCGCCCCAGGGAGGGGAAGATCGGGTCTTGCGTGCGCCACCACCGCCGCGGGGAGGGGCACACTGGGCCGATCGGGAAGGGACAGATGGGGTCCCTGTGCGCCCTGGAGATGGGGGAATGGGGCCAACCTCCGATCTCAACCTCCTGCATAACTAAGATCGTACAGGCACGACGGGCATGCAGCACGGGCCGGTCTCATCTTGGGCCATAAGCTGGTTGTACCTGTCACTGAACTTCGTGCAAGGAGAATCCTGCCATGGGTGTGCGCACCTGTGCATGGCGCACCTCCGCTTAACCGTGGTGAGACTCATCCATGCACTTGCTGTGTCTTTTTCGGTAGTTTGTTCCTTTTTCGTTGCTGAGTAATATTCCATCATGGACTCCATGGTTTGTGTTTGTGAATGTTTGGACTATTTCTGATTTCTTGGCTCTGGATCTTGAGGGAAAAGCCTGGCTTGGGCTCCTTGCCCTTCGGCCCTGAGAGAAGATTCCCAGAGCCAAGCTCTCTTTGCCCCCATTGTCCCCCAAAGAAAAATTTCCTCATGGCTCAGCGCCATTGAGGGCTTGGGAGACACCAAGACCTTTCTCTAGAGACCTGGCTTTTCACTTGCCAATTGCTGTGTGGTTTTAGCCAGGTGACAGAACCTCTCGGTGCCTTCGATTTATTTTTTTTTTTCATCTATAAAATGAGTTCACCCTAGCTCCCATCACAGGGTTTGTGGCAGGGTTAAAAGAGGCTATGTATAAAATGGGGGGCCACACAGGGCCGAGCACATTGAAAAATAGCTAATAGGTGTGTGGATCCTAGGCTCATGCAGGTCAGACTGTGCAGATTGGACGCTCCAAGATGGAGGGTTTCTTGGACATTGTGTGTGTATGTGTGCACACACATGCATGCACACGCTCACGCCCTGTGCCAGTCCTGGTCTTTAGGGCCAGGGCACTGTCCCTTCACTTTTTCACTCAAGACTAGTAGCACTCTTATTTGAGCCACAGCTCTACTTCCACTTTTTGCTGGTTCATTGGAGATACCTGGCTCATGATCTTTTTTTGGGGGGGGTACCAGTCCTGGGGCTTGAACTCAGGGCCTCGACGCTGTCCCTGAGCTTCTTTTGCTCAAGGCTAGCGCTCTACCACTTGAGCCACAGTGCCACTTTTGGCCTCTTTTCGCTAATTTGTTGGCCCAGCACTGGTGGCTACTCAGGAAGTTGAGATCACGGTTGAAAGCCAGCCCAGGCAGCAAAGTCTATGAGACTCTCCAATAAACTACTCAGAAGAAGTCAGCAGTGGTGCTGTGGCTCAAGTGGTAGAGCACTCGCCTTGAGCTGAAGGGCTGAGGGACAGCGCCCAGGCCCTGAGTTCAAACCCCAGGACCAGAAAAGAAAAAAAAAAAAAGTCTCATGAACTTTCCTTCCCGGGCTGTGATCCTCAGATCTCAGCTTCCTGAGTAGCTAGGATGGCAGCTGTGAAACCCAACTCACGGACTTTTCTTCCTAGAGTGGCTTCAAACCTGGAGTCACCCTTTCCCCACACACATATTTTACAGTCAGAATAATAAACTTATTTTCGGAAAGCTATGAGAAGTTCCTGACATGTAACTGGAATTCGATAATGTTTCCTTCACGGGGAAAAGCAAGTTGACTTTGGTTACATCAGAGTAGAAGGATGAGGGGCGATTTTTCTTTCTGCTGCTCCTCCCAAGATAAGGATTTGGAAACAAATGGGATGGAGAGGTTATAATAAAATAAGAGGAGGAGAGCGGGTGTGGCTCAGCAGTAGAGCACCTGCTGAATAGACAGCACGCATGGAGTTCCATTGCTAGGAAGAAGAGAAGGATAGAAGGAGAAAAGAAAGAGAAGGGAGGGAGGGAGGAGGAGAGGAAGCAAAGAAGGCATCGTGTGTGGTGAGCTGAATTTCAGGGAGCAACTGCTGAGCAGCTGTCCAAACCCCCCCCCATACACACACACCCCGCTGCTTGGCTGCTGACTTCATGGGCTGGCTCCTGGGCCATACTGTGCCCTGGGAGTGAGGGACAGGTCACCATCTGCTCCAGCCTCACGTCCCGCCAGCATGACCCACCCAGAAACATGGCCGCTTCCCCCCAAGGCTCAGGACCAGTAGCCTTCCAGCCAACCTAAGCCCGAACCTGGAATGGAAAACTCGATGTGGGTATCCACTGGGGAGTGGGTGCCAGACAGGCAGAAAACACAGCCCTCCAAGGGCCTGGCCCGGTGCTGTTTATCCAACTGGGAAACCACTTTGGGCATGGGGCACGGGGGGGGGGGACACCCCGGGTTTCAACTCAAGGCCTTGCACTTGTTAAACGGATGCTCCACCACTTGAGTCAAGCCTCCTAGTCTTATTTTTTTATGTGTCTCTCGTGGGGCTTGATCTCAGCTGGGCGCTGTAGCTCAGCTCTTCAGCTCAAGGAGGGTGCTCTACCACTTGAGCCACAGCGCCACCTCCGGTTTTCTGGTGGTTCATTGAAGATCAGAGGCTCATAGTCTTTTCTGCCCAGGCTGGCTTTGAACCACGATCCTCAGATCTCAGCCTCCTGAGTAGCTAACATGACAGGCGTGAGCCACCGGCACCTGGCTTTTTTTTCTTATATTTCAAATAGCATTTTGAATTTTTTTGCCAAGGACCAGCCTCCATTGTGACACCCCCTGCCCCCCCCAAGCTATGCTGCCCACCTGGCTAGGACCACAGGCCTGTGCCACAATACCCACCTTCACCATTGAGATGTAGTCTCCCTAACTTTGGTGCTGGTACTGTGAACCCCTGATCTTCACTTACAGGAGTAAACAACCTCTCCTGGCCTCAGATAACTAATTTTTTTTGGGGGGGACACAGTATCGTCAGGTGCCGGCTGGCCATGAGGGGGAACAGCCTGGCCCCCATAACAGTGGCTCTAGAACTGGTAATAAAGCTCTGCGCACACAGCTTGGCCCCCGTGCCTGACACCAGGCAGCAGGCAAGGCCAGAGATGGGCGCAGGGGCTTGCGGGCTCACCCTGATGCCCAGCAGCTTAGGGGTGCCTCTGTGGGGGACCTGTGTGCACCCATCAACCTGGGGTGAGACCTCCTCTCCCTAGCCACCAGCCTGTCGTACCAAGAGCTCCTGAAGACCTACTCTGTGCCTGATGCCAAGCGGCCCCATTTGTTCTGCCCGAATTGATTCCTTTTTACGCTCAGTGCTAAGCCTGAGCCACAGCTCTACTTCCTGCTTCTTATCGTTTGCTAGTTAATTGGAGATAAAGAGTCTGACGGACTTTCCTGGTCCAGGCTGGCTTTGAACCGGGATCCTCAGTGCCATGCGCTGGGCAATGTGTGTGGAGTATGGTGGAGCCCCCCCCCCCCCGCACCGCCGGGCCAACGCCCCAGGGCTTGGTCTGGCAGGACAACTTTGGGTGGAGAGGCGCTGGGAAAGTTCACTACACCAAGAGGCTCCCACAAACACAGCTCGAAAACTTCTGCAGAAAAGTGAGATTTGTTTTTTTTTTCTGATCTCAGAACCAGTATACATCTAACAGAAGAAAAAAAAAAAAAAAACAAGAACATCAGAAATCTAGAAGTTTCTCCTCAACAACCAGCTACTTTCAATTTTTTCTTTTTTGTCAGTTGTGGGGCTTGAACTCTGGGCCTGGGCGCTGTCCCTCAGCTCTTCAGCCCAAGGTGGGCGCTCTACCATTTTGAGCCACAGCGCCACTTCCAGTTTTCTGGTGGTTCATTGGAGATCAGAGGCTTACAGGACTTTCCTGCCCAGGCTGGCTTTGAACTGCAATCCTCAGATCTCAGCCTCCTGAGTAGTTAGGCTGACAGACATGAGCCACAGGTGCCCAGCTCAAATTATCTATTTCTTTCTAGTATTTTCCTATGCATCAGTTTCCCACAAACAAGAACCTCACTTATAAATTTTGTACTTGGTTCTAACCTGCCCTAGCCCTGTGCGAGTATGCCAGAGCTCAGGCCTTTTCTAGTTTTCCCCACTTTGAGAAGCTGTAACCCCAATCTAAGTGGACATCTAAGAGGCATACAGGGTTTGAATAAGCGTGTTTTTTGTTGTTTTTGTTTTGACTTGAACTCAGGGCCTGTGCACTGTCCTTAGCTTTTTTGCTCAAGGCTAGCCCTCTACCACTTGAGCCACGGCTCCACTTTGGGCTTTTTGGTGGTTCTAGGGAGAAAACGAGACTCATGGACTTTTCTGCCCCAGGCTAGTTTTGAACCTCCATCCTCAGATCTCAGCCTCCTGAGTAACTAGCATTGCAGCCATGAGCCACCAGTGCCCAGCTAAACCTATCCATTATTATGAGTTCAGTGTATATTTAGAAAACTAAAGAGGAA